CGTGCCGCCGGAACCGTGCGCGCGCCGCGGCCTCGGGCCTGCATTGTTCCTCCCCCTTGCTCTCCCCTTCCTTCCTCCTAACCAAGCCTTTTTCATGTTTTTCCTCTCTCCCCTTCTCTCCTTCCTTCCTTCCTCCGCCTTGCTGTCTGTAAGCTTTATCGCCTTAGAAGGCTGACCCCGGATCCGGTGATAGATGCTGGACGCTCAGCCTGACTGAGTGGCTGGAAGGGCAGGGGACGTGGGAATAAGACAGGAGGGAAAGAGAAGGGGAGACGCCCCCGGTTTTTATTTTCCTGCCCCATTCGTCTTCTCCTCCAGTATCCTGAAGACCCAGGATGGAGACCAACGGCTTGTCCTTTCCAGAAAGTTTCCCTGGCCTTCCTTCAAGGCATGGCCGAAATGTTGGTGCTTATAGGTGATCTCAGAAACCTTCCTGGTGATGAAAACCTGAGGGCGAGTTTGGACAATGGAAATGTTTCCTGCATCCAACCTTCTCCCGGGCCTTTTGTATCAATCGTGTATCACAAGGCCCCTTCTGAGGGCCTAGAATGGTTCCTTTCAGAAAACCCCTGCGTATTCATTGAGAGAGATAGCTCCTAGGTCTGGGGTCCAAAGACAACCTGCTTCTGAAGCAGTTTAAATTTAGAAGACGTTAGATCCCAGAGCATGGAATTTCCTTCAGACCAGACAAGGCCTCAATACTGGCGACCTGGCTGTCTTTAGTGCCAACCTCCATGTGGTTCATTGTCCTATTTGATCTTAATTTTGTGAAGTTCATTAGAATTGAGGGGCTGCACATATAGCAACAGACCATCCTTGTCCTCAAGGGCCTTTTAGTAAATATTCACGAGGAGGGAACTCTGTAGGAGGCACTGCAAAGGTTGCAGGGCATGTATGAATGAGTGACTAAAGATTACAGTCATGGAATTTCTGTGCTGGTGAGAGGTTCTGGGTGGTCTGAAGGGGGCTACAGAGCTGCAGAGGGCAGCAGACACTTCAGCCTCACAGACAGTGGCTTGGGATTAAATATTCACCCTTTTCCTTGAGCCAAGGTTTGTCCCATGGCCACAGAGCCCTCCAGCCAAACCTCACCCTGGCAGAGCTTTAGCAGGCAGAAAAAGCTGCCAAAGGCAGGTTGGGCACTAGCTTAGGGCTGTTCTGAGCAGGGAACAGGCATCTAGCCTTCTGCCCAGGGAGTCTTATGACTCCCTTCAGGGGATCCAAGGCGAGTGAAGGAGATGGTTCAGCTCTGAGACGAAAAAGGCAGCTGCTTAGCTGGAGCCCTTTCCAGCTGAAAATCCTGTGATTGGAGACATGTCTGAAGAGACAGAGACCCTCTTAAGACCTGACTGGTACAAGTTCAGGATTGACTGAAGGTCACCATCAACCCTAGGAACCTACTCTCTGAGCTATGCAACCTACCTTCTGGATTTTTTTCATCAGGTGTTGAAGCCTGTCAGGATAAGGTCTCCTGACACCAAGAACCCATCGTTTATCAACAGTGATGAGTCATTTGTGAACTGATTCGACCTGTCTGCGGCTAAGGAGTACTCACAGCTTTTATCTTTAGCTACCGTTGCTGGCTGTGAGAATGGTACCATACATTTGTAATCAAACACAGGGCACCAGGCGACTTCTTGAAAAGCCAACACCTTGGCTGAACAGCTAATGGTGAAAGTGGAAGGGAGTGATGGGTGGGGGGGTATGTGCAGATGGAAATGGATTTTTTTTTTTTTTTTTTT